TCTTCCATGCTTTCACACCACATGGAGAGTATTTAGCTGATCTTTTGGCAAAGCCTGTGTACAAGAAGCCGTAATCTCCATGGCCTGCTCCTCACCAGGGCTAAGCCAGCAGCATCAATAGGGATACCCAGAAACTCAGCAGGGATATCTGGCCTAGCACAAGCAGTCACACACATGCACCTATACTTGTTGCTACTGAGTTTTCGGGCAAACCCTGATACTCACATTGAACTTTCTCATCCCTGGACAGGCTGCTCCAGTCTGCCTTCTCCTTCTCCTTCAGGGCCTTCTGGCTGGCAGACAGCTGCTTGACATGTGCCACATCGGGCAAGGGGTAGTCACGCCGATCAACATAACTAGGGAGAGCATAGTCTTCACTCTTCACAACACTCCCTAAAACACATTGGATGAATCTGAAAACCCATGTGGGTAGAGTCCAGGCAGAAGGGTGATTGCAGGTCAATGGTTAAATGGAAGCACTTAACCTAACCAAACCCTCAGGTTTATAGTCACCAGAGGTGGGAGAGGGTTATTTACTGGAAAGGCAATTGGACTAAAAATGAGGTCCCAACTGCAGGGACTCATGTACAGAACACGAAACTCAAAAAGGGAAAGGCGGTTGCTGCAGGGTACAGTAATAGCCCACTGAGACTCCAGAGACCACTCAGAAACTGTGGGTCTGATACAAAAGGTGTCAATCATGGAGTCACCTACTCATTTGTTGATTAATGACTTACCAAGTACCTACTATTCACTAAGGAGGCTGGCTCTATATATATGGGACTGTCAGCAAACAACCAAGCATTCCTACCTAACCATGCGCTTACATTCTGTAAGTGAGAAACAAGCAAGACCTAATACACAGAGTCACACACTAAGAATGCACATGTGGCAGGATCCTGAACTTGCCAGAGGAGGTCGCCCTGGAAACTCCAAGGGAAGAACGATGTGCTCAATAAGCAGAGCCAGGTAGGTTCAGTTCTGCTTTCCTTCCAATCTATGCTCACTTAATACTCACCAAGTCAAGTCAGCCCAAACTGAGCAGTGCAAAGAGCCAGAGCGGAGTGGAGGCTCTTTCTTGCTACTCCACTGCATCACGTGAGCATGCACCTGTGCATCCCACAGGACACATCAGGACAAAGCTCAGGCTACAGGAAACAAGTTGGATTGTCCCCCCATTGTTTCCTGCTGCTAAAAGCTCTCTGTCCGACCTGTCTTAGGGACATAGCCTTGCTGAAATACGTTGCTCCCCATAAGCTCAGCCCCATGTCTAAACCTCCCAGATCATGCTGGTAAACATCACTAAGCCTTAAGCAAAGCTATGATCCTTCCAGGTGTTTATTTGGTGCACAAAAGACCAGTAAGGGTCTGTTCTGTTTAACCTCATCCCAAAAAAATCTGAACCAAAACAACCAGAATTACTTTCCCATTTTAACTCTTAGCATCCCATAAAGCTGGGCATGATGGCACATGCCTATAATACAAGCTCTTGACAGGCTGAGACAGAAGAATTGCAAGTTCGAGACCTGCCTCAACTACATAGGGAAACACCATCTCAAAGCACAGGGGAGATGCTCAGAAAAAGAAAGGCAGCTACTGAACACTTCCACCAAGTTCAACACACCCCACCCAAGCCCTATTTCTCCAGGCATAAAACACTTGTACTTTACATCAAAGTAGATGTAAATTAGAATGAGAATGTCCTAGAACTAACCGTGGTGATAATAGCACATACCAGCGACTATACTAAAAACAATGAGAAGCGTGCAATTTAAGCGAATCAATATATTGTGTGAATTACAGCTCAGCTATTAGGCTGCCATAAACTTTCATGGTCTCAGAATACACTAGCCATAAAATGGTGTATTCTAGACCAAGAGTGGTTAACATATTTTCTAGGTGCACTTCAGAGTTTTGTGCTTATCCTTGGATCAGAGAAAACCAAAGGCTCACAAGCCAACCACTGTCTTAAAAGGGACAGAGGGTCCCGATCCCACTGTCTACTTCCTCCTAGATGCAGCCACTTGTGCAAGACCAGGTGCCACCATGCCCAAGTGTTCCAAGCGTGACAAAGAGGTGTATTTGCTGAATGACCTCACTAGGTAAAGACTGGCATCACCCACACCTGAAGCGTGAGAAATATGGTAAGACGCTGACCTCTGGGGTCTATGCTGAGCATGAAAGACAAGCCCTACTACAATCAACCTTGCTATGCAGCCATGTTTGGGCCTAAAGGCTTTGGGTGAGGTGGAGCTGACAGTCTTACTTCCAAGCAGACCCAGATTGTGGAAACCCTCCTCCCTGCCTAGGCACATGCCAGGTCTTACCCTTGGACATCAGGGGTTCCCAAAAGCCCTTCACACCCTAAAAGCTGAATCTTTCAGAGGAAATTAAAAAAAAAATATTAAAAGGGAAACAGAAGCAAAGATTTTGAATTCAATAAGGTCACTTCTGTTCTCAACCAAAATGAGTTTTGCACAGCTTGTGAGATGTTAGGTCTCAGCTCCCTTCTTGTTCTCGCAGTCACACTATGAAGACCTCAACTGACAGCAGTGCCCCAGTGGAGTTCCACCACACACTAGTACTGTAAGCATATGCTAACCATGGAGGACTCCTATGAGGGTTAATAAAGGAAAAGTTTTCCTTTTCTAAACACCTTTCACTAATGCTCAGCCTGCGTCCACGGTGCCAGACTAAACAGTGCACCTCTGGGACTCTCACTGTCTACCACTGCCTTCATCTCACCAGCCCACTCCACAACTGCAAGCTCCTTGGGGAAGGTCCACCTCTCACATTATCTTCTCAGTATTTAACACCACTACAAAGAGTATGCTTCGTAAACGCAAAGCAAAAATGCTGCTAAGCCAGGCTCAGAACTAAAACCTTGTGTGTCTGTACATTTCAGGTGAGAAGGTAGATGCTTAGACTTCAGGAGCTAGTCCATGACTACAGTGAAATCCAAACACAGCTCAGACCCAAGCCCACCTTTGCTTCCATTGCTTCTGTGACGCCAACAGAAGGGGACTTAAGAAGTTTAGAGTGGGAAAAGAATTCAAGTCAGATATGGAGACGCTCTCTAGAAGGGACAGAACTTTACATGTATGGTAATGCATCTTTAACCCCAGCATTCAGAAGGCAGAGCAAAGAACCCCGGGAGGTCAAGGCCAGTCAGAGCTACACGACAGGGAAGGAGGGAAAAAGGAAAGAAGGGCATCTTTATTTAAAACCCCACCACACTTTTAGACATAAAGCAAAGAAAAAACAGCCACAATTTACAATCCCAGAGAACCTAGACAATAATGCGGACCCTAAGACAGACATACATGGATCTAATGTACAAGGGAAGTAGAAAAAGACAAGATCTCAATTGGGAGCACGGGGACCTTGGGAGAGGGTAAAAGGGGAGAGGAGAGAAAGGGAGGGGAACAGAGAAAAATATATAGCTCAATTAAAACAATAAAATAATGATAATAAACAACAACAAAAATTAAAACCCTACCACAGTGTCTTAGACATAGGAGCAAAATGACATTAAGTTAGTCTATTTGGAAGTAAAAGTTCTTAGCTAGGCATGGTGGTACACGCCTTGAATCCCAGCACTTGGGAGGCAGAGGCAGAGGCAAGCAAATCTCTGAGTTTGAGGCCAGCCTGGTCTACAGAGTGAGTTCCAGCACAGCCAGGGCTAACAGAGAAATCCTGTCTTGAATAACAAAACAAAACAAAACAGATAGACAGACAGAAAAGTCTCACTTCACTTACCATGTGCTCGAACACACACTGAGGTGGAAATGGCTCTCTTGCCAATTAGGCTAAGTGCCCTTGCAGCCAACATTCTGAAAGACAAAAAACGTACACTTCTAACAATGAAAGAAAACACCTTTTAGTGTGCTTCTTGCCATAGAACACTTATGAGCTACATGCAACTCATTCTTCCAACGTTAAATGATTTTTTGTTGCTATGATTTCATCAGACTTTTAAGGCACAGGCTGCTGGCCTGTGTGGCTTGCACCCTATCCTCCTCTAGCTCACAAGAGCTCGCATTACAGGCCAGCAGCACGCGCCCAGGATCCGCTTTTATAACTGATGCGGATGCACGAAGTGGCGCAGGATGAGTTGGGTTTTCTTAGTCTGCATTTACAGAGCACCCCGGATCAAACCAAGGGCTGTAATATACGGCTTTGGCCAATGAATCAAAAACTCGACTTCTTAAGAAACAATTAGACAAAATGACTAAAATAGCGAGAACTCGACAGAGCACACGGTGCAGCCTCGCGCTGGCGTTGGAAACACCGCCCGCGACTGGATTTTACTTAAAAACGACTCGCGCGGAGACTACGGAAGGGCAAGCGGAGGAGGGAGGAGACCTTCCAGGCCCTGGCCCGCTTCCCGTCCCTGCGGCCCACAGGCGATCTCGATGACCCTGTCGCCCGCCCCAGCGACTGGAGCTGCAGGCCTCACTTCTGCACAGCCTCTCGGAGACACGCTCCCCGGGAACGGACGCCCGGGGCGGCAGAAACCGTAGCGTGACGTCAGGGCTCGGCTGACCGCGCCTTGGGCCTGGTGGAGCTGGAGCGCAAGAAGCGGGCCAGGCCCTAGCCGAACAAGCCAGCGGGGACCCAGGACAACAGTCCCGCCCGGGAAGCGGGCGCGCCAAGGTCACTGAGCCGCTCAAGTCCCCGTCCCGCGGGCGCCTCAGCATCACCGCTGCCGCCCCGACGCTCCAACTCGTCGGCCCCCGGCCACGCCGCCCTCACCCGCTGTCAAAGGCCGACACCCGCTGTCACCTGCCACCGCTGCCCTAGCGACCGCCTCGACCGCCCTCTACACCCCGGCAGCTCGCGACCGGAAGAGCAGGGCCAGCACCGGAAGAGCAAGATGGGGCCGCGGAGCACCGCGGGATCGAGGAAGCCCCGCCCATACTCGTCGGGCCGGGGGCGTGGCGCCGCAACTGTCGCGAAAAGCCGCGCGGGCTACGCGGCTTTCCGGCAGGCGCTGGCAAATACGCTTTCCGGCGGGCGGGTCGAGGCGGGAGGTTGCTAGTGGAGGTGTGAGTTTGCCTTTAGGTGCAGCGGGGTCGTGTTTTGTACCTTGGGGGCCTCATTGGCGACGTGAGCACCCCGACTCAGCATGCCGGGCGTGAAGCTGACTACACAGGCCTACTGCAAGATGGTGCTACACGGCGCCAAGTACCCGCACTGCGCGGTCAACGGGCTTCTGGTGGCCGAGAGGCAGAGGCCGCGCAAGGAGCATCCGCCGGGCTCAGGCAGCCACACTCTCTTCGTGGACTGCATCCCGCTTTTCCACGGCACGCTGGCCCTGGCGCCCATGCTGGAGGTGGCACTCACCCTGGTAAGCTCGAGGTCAACGCGGGATTCTGGGCTGGGCGAAGTCAGGTGCCCCTCTTTCGAGAAGCGTCTCCTCTTGGGTAAGCAGGGTAACGTGCTCTCACGGTTTTGTAAAATTACCAAGAAACCGAGTGGTGTGCATTCTTCAAACCTGCGCTCGGGACGTGAAGGTAGGTGGAGCTCCGTGAGTTCGAGGTCAACCTGGTCTACGTGGAGATACCTGTGATAGTTAACACTGCATTTAAAGTTTAAACTAAGCTTGAGTAACCAAGAAGGAAAAAAAAAAAAAGCCTCAAACATGTAAACCCCTAGCATGGCTGTACCCTGTATCCCACCCCAGACGGTGAAGACTATTTTTTTTAAATCGACTGATCATGAAGAATTTGCTCTTCTAGCAAGCTAGTAGGTCATAAAACTATTCCTGCTTTTGTAATCAAACTTGTTTTTCTCTGCTCAAAAAATAGACCCAAAATTATAGCTTTGTGATTTTTGCCTTTATAAGCCCTGGGCTGATAATGGCTAGGTGCTGCGTCTCGGGCACGCTCTCAGATGCAGACCTGATGCCAGTGCAAGTCAGTCCTCGTGCCAGTATCTCAATCAAAAGCTCCATCTTATTAAAATGTATTCATGAATGACCCCAGACCCATAACAACTCTGCCTCAAAAAGGTAAATAAACAAAAGTTGAAGTAAACAGTAACCCCTCCTTAAGAGACTTTAGCCTGCCTGAGCCTGGCCGCCATGACCCTGGAGGCTGAGTTTGCCCTTCTCCCCCATTCCCTCTGCCTTACTAAAGACTGTGAGATTCCATTCTCGCAGCTCACCCGAGCAGTAGCACTCACCACAGCTCCGTTTACATCTCAGAATGAGCTCTGAGATGAAACAAGAGCGGGCAGGGGTGACATGCCCCCCAAAATTTTCTAAACATGTAGCCCAGACTAACCTTGAACTCTCAATACTCTTCCTGCTCAGTTCCTGAGAACTGGGACATGAACAAGCATGCCTTGCCATCTGTTCATTTTGGTTTTTTGGAAAGGGTTTCACTTTTGTAGCCCTGGCTGGTCTGGAACACTATGTAGACCAAGCTGGCCTCCAAAATACAGAGGTCAGCCTGCCTCAGTCTCAAGTGCTCGGATTAAAGATGGTCACCACTGTGCCTCGCTCATCCTTTTCTTAATTTACATTACAACACCAAGGGAAATGTCTGACCAACTATAAGTGTCTTTAGGTGATTGTCTTAAATTTACCAAACATATTTTTTTTTTTAGTATTTTGTTGTTGTTGTTTTGGTTTGCTTTTGGTTTTTTGAAACAAGTTTTCTCTTTAGCTTTGGAACCTGTCCTGGAACTAGCTTTTGTAGACCAGGCTGGCCCCAAACTCACAGAGATCAGCCTGCCTCTTGTCTCCCAAGTGCTGGGATTAAAGGTGTGTGTCACCACTGCCCAACAAATTTTTTGAGTGTCTTAAAAAATTATTGCATGTATTTTGTTTTTAAATTTTGGATCTTGGGGGCTGGGCAGATATGTGGGTGATATTTATAAACTCGTGAATTTTAGTTTCTGAAGAAGTGTACTTTTGGTACCTGAAGCATGGCTGAGGATTCCTGTGCATTTTCCAGGTCAGTCTTGTTCTGTCAGCAAAGAAGTTATGGGTGACTTAATGTGAACCTGGCAGGGCCCTGCCTTCAGTAGTAGGGCAGGTTTCTCAGGCTTGAACCCAGGACTGGGTCGACTTAGATCTGCAGTGGGCTGACAAGCTCTATACAGAAGAAACAGCAGCTAATATCGGGGTTGGGTAGGTGGCTGAAGCACTTGCTGCTCTTGAAAGGAAGAGGTAGTTCCTAACACTCAGGTCAGGTACCTAAAACTATCTCTAACTCCATCCCCAGATCTGACCCCCTCTTATGACTTCTGTGGGCACTGTACTCACATGCCCATACCCACACAAGAGGCAGGCAGATTGCTGAGCCATAGCACATGCCTTTAATCCCAGCACTTGGAAGGCAGAGGCAGGCGGATCTCTGTGAGTTTGAGGCCAGCCTGGTCTACAGAATGAGTTTTAGAACAGCCACAGCTACATAGTGAGACCATGTCTCCAAAAAAGAAAGAAAGAAATGTAAAATAAGATTTTTTTCCCACCTTAAATCAGTTCATCCAGGCTGGAGAGATGGCTCAGAGGTTAAGAGCATTGCCTGCTCTTCCAAAGGTCCTGAGTTCAATTCCCAGCAACCACATGGTGGCTCACAACCATCTGTAATGGGTCTGGTGCCCTCTTCTGGCATACATACAGACAGAATGTTGTATACATAATAAATAAATAAATAAATAAATAAATAAATAAATAAATAAATAAATAAATATAAAAAAAATAAGTTCATCCAAGCCTGGGGGTTAGGATAGTCAGGACATTTAAGCGAGCCCGCCACCCCAGGCTTTGTGACCTACCCTGGGGCCTTTACAGGCACCAGGAGGTTCTGCCTTTCTCAATCTCCACTTCAAGCCCAAATCCACTTTTCAACTTTTAGCGTCAGGAGTTCATTTGACTGTCTTAGACTCTGCACCAAATGCTCTGCCTATTCTCTCTTAGTGCTACTCTCTGCTGTATCCCTGAGACAATGTGGAGCCTCTGAGGCCTGTGGACTGTCCTCCCTCGGGCTCTTTGTTGAATCCATCCTTTCATCTCCTGCCAGCCTCTAGTCTCAGACGACCCTCATCCTCTGCAGCAGGCTACGGTTCCACTTGAAGACCTGCAGTCTGACAGGACCTCCCCAGACTGGTGTTCTGTCTGTCCCCAGGATGTGGCCCCCATACCCACTTCTTTTCCCTCCCAAACACCCACCCCAACTGTCCCCACTACTATTTCTCCTGCAGACGCCCCTGCTCTGAGTATTCTCCCCCACCCATGCTGGGACTGTCTCACTAGCCCCCATTGCAGCCATTAATTGAATTTATTAAATTTGTGGTGTTTACTTTTCAACCATGCAACTTTGCACACCAAAGGCTGTGAGAAGTCTCTGGGTTTGACGCCTGCTACTGTTAAAATATGGCTGAGGAAGTTTTAACAGCTGCAGGACTTATGGAGCTGTGTCTATGAGACCCCCCCCCCCATCCTGGTGGCTCCCTCTGCTGGGGAGCACACACTGGAATGATTGTTGAACATGGGAAAGCTCAGCTAGCCAATTCCTAACATGCAGTCTGGCAAAGGGCAATGTGAGAGTCCTTTAAAAGGATTTCTATTATTATTTTCCATTTTTAAAAAAGTCCTTGCATTTCTGGGTGCTTTTCATTTGTTTAAGTACTTATGCCTATATTTATCCTCAGCCCTTTGACGTAGGTAGTGAAGGAATTACCTCTAATAGCAAAAAAAAAAAAAAAAAAAAACCATAAAAGTGTTGGTAGGAAAATTAGCATAACCCTGTTTCTCTAAGCCCATTGTCTTTTTCTCGTGCCTTGATTTCTGCTGCTCTGGGCAATTCTCTGTGCATTCTGCTCAGATGACTTTTTTGCTTACCATGGTGTGATTTCAGGCCAGTGTTCTTCCTGCCGTCTCCGTTCCATGTTCCACAGCTGTTGTCCCATCTGCCCTGGGTGTTCTTCCTCAGCATAGCCTCCCAAGCTTCTCTTTCAAGGAAAAGTCACAGCTGACCTGAGTGTTGTCCCATCTGCCCTGGGTGTTCTTCCTCAGCATAGCCTCCCAAGCTTCTCTTTCAAGGAAAAGTCACAGCTGACCTGAGAAGGAAACTCAGGAAAACTCAGCCAAGGCCTGCTTCTTGCTACAAACAGGGAGTTTTACTGGATGACCCTCGGTTTGGTCATGTGGGATCAGGAGGGAGACGCTTAGCCTTGCCCATTCTCCTGTTGTTATGGAGTCACCTGAGGTAGGCTAGAGAGATGACTCCATAGTTGAGAGCACTTGCTGCTCTTCAGTGGGCCCAGTTCGGTTCCCAGCACCTATGTCAGGTGGCTCACAATAGTTCATGACTCCAGTTCTAGGAAGGCTGACGCCTCTGGCCTCAACAGGTGCCTGCATTCCTGCACACATACCTACACATAATAAAAAGTAGTAAGTCTTTAAAAAATAAATTTTTATTTTGTGTGTATGGGTGCTTCCCTTCATGTATGTTTGTGCACTCTCTGCGTGCATGTGGTACTTATGGAAGCCAGGATATCAGAAATCCCCTAGGAGTTACATACAGTTGTGAGACACAGCGATAAGTGTGGAGAATTAAACCCAAGTCCTCTGCGAGAGTAGCCGGTGCTCTAACCACTTGGTCCTCTCTTTGGCCCTTCTTTCCCTGTTAAAACGTGTTTCCCTGCCTCTGAGCTCTGGTGGTGTAGGGTCTGTTCCTCTGTTAGTGGATAGGCCATATGCAGGTCTGTGTTGGTGGAGACATGTGCACAGTGTAAAAAAATTGTTGCATTTCCTAAAGCCAAGGTGGGGCTTTTATGGCCTGGTTTGCTTTAAACTGCCCCACAGGGTCTAGAAGTTCTAGGTCACAGCATTATTTCTCCCACAGATTTGGTTAGGTTCCTGGGATTTTCACATAGGCCTGTGTCGTCAGCAGATATAGGACAGATTGAAGCATGTGTTAATATTTGTCACGGGTATCAGTCCCGTGTCAAGTGCTGTCTGTGCCCAGGTTCAAGGTGGTACCATGTATGTTTGAGGCAGATGTGAGTCCTGGACCTTTTGGCCAAAGAGCCAGATTTGACTGCTCGCTGAAGGCTGATGCTGTGCTATTGGGGAGTAAATTTGCATTGCACCCCAGTAATAAGTACAACAGAGTTGTGGGTGGAGAGATTGTCCCTGCTTCTCTGTGTCAGACCAGAGTAAGAATAGGGATTGTTAAGTCAGTGGGTAATGTGTGAAGGCAAGCAGTCAGGAGGATGTGACTGTAGGCCTAAGAAGGCTAGAAAAGGGGTGTCCAAAGCTCATAGAAAGAACCAGCCTTGCCATGGGATATCTTATACACTGTAACAATTTTGTCATAAGTAAAACACTGATTGGCCAGTAGCCAGGAAGGAAGTATAGGTGGGGCAATCACACTAAGAGAATTCTGGGAAAAGGAAAGGCAGAGAATCAATCATCAGTCAGACAAAGAAGAAGAAAGATGCCTTACTGAGAAAAGATACCAAGCCACATAGCTAAACAGACAAGAATTGTGGGTTAATTTAAGTTGTAAGAGCTAATTAATAATAAGCCTGAGCAACTGGGTGGTGGTGGTGGTACACACCTTTAATCCCAGCACTTAGGAGGTAGAGGCAGGTGGATCTCAGTTCGAGGCCAGCCTGGTTTACAAAGTAAACTCCAGGACAGTCAGGACTGTTACACAGAGAAACCCTGTCTCAAAAAACCAAAATAATAATAATCATCATCATCATAATAAAAATAGACCTTAGCCGGGCAGTGGTGGCGCACGCCTTTAATCCCAGCACTTGGGAGGCAGAGGCAGGCTGATCTCTGTGAGTTCAAGACCAGCCTGGTCTACAAGAGCTAGTTCCAGGACAGGCTCCAAAACCACAGAGAAACCCTGTCTCGAAAAACCAAAAA